CTTATTATGAGGCATTCCTGTATGGATGGTAAGAAGTAAGCCCATTTCAAATGGGAGTAAAACGCAGACTTCCACAATTTTCATCCGGAGTGAGTCAAGGATAAAAATAAAAGAGGTATAGAACAGGAAAAGACTTATTGTTGTATGCAATAAAATTGAATCCCATATTGTCGAAAAACTAGGAAGGGAGAGGAATATAAATAAATAACATTTAATCAGATTATAAATTTAGATAATTAAATGAATGACCACATATCAACAACCTGAAATGAAAAAAAAAAATTTATTCTGGCACTAAATTCCCCTAAGAATAATAACAGAGATCGAAAATTAAGCTCAATGGTCTGGCTTAAAGGAATATAAAACGGTTCTTGTCAATTAGCTGTTAATTAAATTATACAATGCCAAACTGAAAATATGAATTAAGGACCTCAAAACAAGAAAAAAAAATTCCTCTTAAGCTATTTCCACAAACGCTTTGTTTAAGAGATGTTCACACCTAAAGATTTCCGTTGTTATGAATTAATTACGTTATATAAAGTAAATAAAACATATTTATTTATTCCAACTACTTTATTAATTAAAGGTAAACATAAAATTAATATTAAATGTTGTTCAAAGTGATTTCCTTGAGCATTAAGACAGGATGCCATCTTTGGTCAGCAGCAGCAGTGGTAGAACAGCACTGGTTATGTGTTATATCACAAGATTCAATTATCCTTCTTCATAAGGAATTAAGGTCATTGACCCGACACATAGAATTTTTATTTAATGTCACCCCAAACAAAAAAAATCCGTATAAAAACACCATATTAGCATATTCACCATTAGTATAAATGGAAGGCATAATGATGAGTTATGAGCATAATGAAGCTTCTTACAAACTTATAAATGTTATGGAGAGTTCCCAATGCTAATTCCAAACAGTATTAATCCAAATATTGCCGACAGTTTTTATACACTTCAGTATAAAAGGCCATATTAGTATTCTACCTAATCCATCTACTAAACGTTAACATACCTTCACTTTGAACAACATTTAATATGAATGTTAATGTTTTTTGAATTTAATTGTATTTTGAATGTTAATGTAATTTGAACAAATAAAGGTTTTATTTATTTCATATTATGTAAATAATACATAACAACAAAAATCTTTAGGTGTGAATATCTTCTAAACAAAGCGTTATCGGTCAACCTTCAGAGGAAATTTTTTTCTTGTTTTGAGATCCTTAGTTCATTTTTGCAGTTTGGCGAGTCGACCCTGATACACCCTGTATAAAATCAAGTCAATTTTACATGGTTGCGAAACTTTGAACATGAAGTAGGTGGTGGAATAGTAGTTATTTAAAGGAATTTGTGGATGAGGATAATTGTGTGGGATATGTAAAGAGTTTCAATAGGAGGCAACACAAATGATGAGGGATTTGCTGAAGAAAGTAATTTTACGGTAAGGGATATATAATATAGATCAATAGGTTGAGGTCTGATATTAAGAGAGTGGACAGAAGAATGTAGAGTAAGAAGTTTTAGGATGTGGAAGAATTTTTGGTTCTGAGAACATCTGACCACTAGCGGATCCAGCCCGGGGGCGTGCGCCCTCCCCTGGGTGCTGTAAAAAAATCCAAAAAAGATTCCAAAAAGCAGCTATTTAAATAAAAGGGGAATATAGAGAAAATTCCCCTATAGGCAAAATCCTCATAGACGATGAATATCCTAATGTAATATAAAAAAATATAATTATCGTGACCACCACTGGCGTATTCTGCCAGGGAGCGCGCCCTCCCATGGATGGAGAAAAAATTCCGAAAAAGTGGCATAAACATCTATTTCAAGAAAAGAGAAATATAGGGAAAATTCATGATCATTCACGAATTTCCTAATGTAATAAAAAAATATATATAACCGTGACGAGCACTAGCGAATTATGCAATGGGACGACCCTCCCCCTGGATGGTGGACAAAAAATCCGAAAAAGTTCCAAGAAGCATCTATTCAAAGAAAAGAGTGATGTAGTTTTTGGGCTGTCGTGAGATGCTAAGGCTTGTGCTCCTATCGCAGTATGTTCCTATTGACTCCGAACTAAAATACATCTCACTGGTGGAAGACATGATGGGGGCAAATTTATTTTAAAAAATATGAACTTCATTTATTCTTTCGAACAACCTTTCATTCGAGCACAAGAAAATCCGGGTTTTCTTCCGGACCCATATTTTATTCACTTCCTATAGATCTGGATGCATTGCAACTTTAAGCAACTATAGTCTCCTTGAAGAATTCATGCGGTTCATAAAACTGGTCACGATAATAATTTGTACGTTTCTCATTAGAAAGTGTTGTTTTCTTAAAATAGCTGCTGTAGGGAACGTTTTCATGAGGCAAGATACTAATTATTTGGTCTCAGATTTGATCGGAATCAGAAATTATTCTGAATTTTTGTTCTTAGAGAACTCATTTACTAGTTATAGGGCCATTTATTGTAATCTTTCTCAGATTTTGGCCATGCCGGTAAAAATCAGCGTTCATTGACCGTGGTTATCGGCCATATCTCTTAATGAAATTAAGGTTTAGTACTCGTTCGACGCACAATTTGACGTTCTTTAATTTTTCATAGAATACCTTTTTCGCTTTGATGCACTGTTTAGTAGTGGTACATGAAAAAAAACAACAGATAAATCAGGATTTTTTGGCTGCAAAAGTTTTTTCTTGGTGACCGGTGTCAGCAATTCAGATTTTTACATGTCTAAATCCTTATGCTGGGTACCTCGTAAGTAGACGGAAATATTTAAAGGAGTGATAGCCAAACTCAATAAATACAAAAAAGTTTATATAAACAATGGTTCGATTTTTAGCAGAAAAGTAGGAAATTAAAGTTTTGTGATTTTTCATATAAGGCACATTTTTTGTTGAATTGGAAGTGATAACAAAAAATGTAATAATAATAATATTAATTTAAGTGATTATCGATTGCTTCACTGTAGACAAAATTCGCTTTAAATAAAAATAGAGTCTGCTTTTGTTAAAACCATTTAAAGAGGACTTTTGAGCGGTTAAACTCAGGTAAGGAGGGGAGAGAGATGGGTAGTGGTGTGGAAAGCACCCTGTACAGAGGTGCGCCCCCCTGAGAAAATTCCTGGATCCGCCACTGCATCTGACACTAAGTTTGAAATTAACTTATTAGTTGATTCTTATAGCATTTTTCTCACTTTTAAATGGTGAAATCAGTTTACATCATAAAAAGTCGTTAACAAAATTAAATTTAGCTTTAAATTTAACAATTTATATCAAAACAGTTATTTGAAGAGTAAACTAGTTTCATAAGTGGACATCTATCAAACTACCAATAGAATGGCTTGATTCTTATCACGTGTTCAATCTTTAGTGAAGGTTGCCTGTTATAACTTGAAGGAAAACAACACCTAGAGATGAATTTATTGAATCTAAATGGAAAATGGAACCTTAAATTTAAATTGAAAAAATAAAGTTGTAGTATAACACGCTGTTGATAATTTTTTAAATGAAACCTAGCGTATGAGAAGATGAACAAACGGAGAATTTCTCATTTCAGAGACATAGAATACTGATAAAAAAAGATTAACAGAAGCCTAACTTCATTTTAACTTTTCCAAATGCAGGCGAGTAATTTTTCAGAACAATTAAGTTGGGATGCTCAGTTTTCAATGGATAACAAACTTACAACTTTAATAGTGGTGAATAAAAGCCAAATCATAGGTCCAATGCAGACCTCAAATGTTCAAAGAATCTTCAAGCGTACTATTAACAAACACACAAAAAAAAAAACTCAAGACGTTGAAATGTTGTTAGAAAATTAATTTTGTGAAAAGTTAAAAGAAGAATACCTGATTATAATGGTACAAATACCTTCTGGTATTCTTGAACTCCAGAATAGTATTTTACCGGATAATATTTGTGAATGTGCCGGTGCAAAAGAAAATTTTAGTATCTGGGCAAACAGATATTTAGTTTCTATCGGCGTGGTTTTATATTTTTACGATTTGTCAAAATTAAGTTAACTACAAATGTTACATTAGTTAAGGCTGATTTTAGAGTTCATTGGTGAGTTTTTTATGCGACAGACTATTAGGGGTCGATTGCATTTCAAAAACTGACATCTATATTTTCAAATGAATTTCATTATCATATTGATGTCTCATCCTTCGCAGAATTAATAAACAATGTTCAAGTTGAATTATTAAAAAAATAAATAAAAATAAAAATAATGGAATTCTTTTAAATTGAGGGCTTACAACAAAATTTGGATTTTTTTCTAGATTGTAAACATGACAAATGTCTGCCATTGATACTAGGCCACTCAAATATTAACTAGCTTTATTAGGGCAGGAATATAAATATTTATTACCTTTCGAATTATTTATTTAATATTCAGATAACATTCTACTCAATAGGACAAAGAACTAGTAACTAACCAATTTCGAAATGTTTTTTATTTGTTTGAGAAGATATATAAATATATTCTTTTTTTTTTTTTTTTTTTTTTTTTTTTTCTGAAAACAGCGATGTATCATTTTTCTTCGGATTCCATGTTATACGTTCAATTTCCCCATAGGAAACGATGTTTGGCATAGGAAATCTAAATGGCGGACAATTTTTTTGTAGGAATTTATAAAAAACTAATTACCATTATTCAATTTAAAAAAATAAACAAATAAAGTAAAAACAAATATTTAAACTGTGAGTTCTATATCAATAACAGAATTAAAAATATTGCAATAAATGCATGTATATCAATATTTGAAACATTTAATAAACATCTTGGATATTGAACTACTTTTTCGGAATTTATTTGTAAGTTTGAAAATTTACACATATTTTAGTGAAAGTAATGAAGAAATAAATTGAATGCGAGTTGATATTAATCCACATGGTATATTTTTGTTGTCATATTTCGAAACGGCATTACATTAAGTATTAGGGACTTCATACCACCAAGAGATAACATTAATTTTAAATGTGAGTGAGACGGTTACAAAATGTTACAGCCCCCTTCTTCTTCCCCATTCATACCCAATGTAAGTAGACCAATTTATTTATTTTTTTTTTGGAATACAAATTTTAATAATTATGTATTATACAACTTAAAATTTGTAGTATACTAGGTGATATAAATGCAATTTACTATACATCTAAGTAATATTTCTATTTTATCAGTAAGTTTTTAGCATTTCAATATTTCGATTGTTTAGAACAAAATAATTAAAAATTTGCGATTGAAACAAAATTGAGGATGAAAATAAAAATAAAAAGTATATATTTCAGCTGATTTATAAAACAATTTGTCCTCCGAAAAATCGCCAATCTATTGCAAAAATTCATTAAGTAACATTTCATAACATTATATAAACAAGTAATTTGGAATTCGTGAACTCGGAACACTGAACTAATCGTATAAATATTTTGGATACATTAAAGAGTTTAGTACGACAGTTTGATGCAATTATTATTATTTTTTTAATAGTAAATAATAGTCTGTAGTACACACCCAATTTATCATATTAACATCCGCCTAAAATTTCGTGAATGGCCTCCATCTTATCATAACCTACAATTTTTTTAGATACCATTCCCTGAATTCCCTGATATGTGGCGTTTTATCATTAAATTAATTAATTATTGCCATTTGCATTACTTGCCTGATAAGTGATTAATTTTAATTCAGAGCATTCCCAAGACAATTTCATTTGGGTTCTATATATTTCGTTGATGTCAAATAGTTTTTAAATACAATTATTATTAATTTTTGTTATCAAGAATTTATGTATCTGTTTTCTATTCTATGTATCTGTTTTTCTATTATTCAGTCTCTCTGTTTCCTTGAAATCTCGAGAAAACTGGTGGTTTTATGGGTTGTCATCAGGTCTAGAAAATATGGTTCAGCTGTGACACATTTCTCTAAAAAAATAAATAAATAAATAATTAATTTTCTGTGCATTTTATTGAAGCTCATTTATTTTGTAAGTAAATAGGGCTATGTTGTTTTTCAAATGTAAATAAATTTTATTATAAAATTCATAACGTCTTCATAAGATAAAAGAAATTCATCCCAGAACTTTTGTTTACGTTTTCTGTAACAATTAAACAAATAACTGCTTAGCACAACGCTGCGAAAAATTCGATGATTATTTTTTGAAACAATATAAAAATATGGTGCGCGCAACACACAACTTTCACTTACCACTCAACTTTGAATAGAAATTATTTTCTGGCCATGTTGGGCAGATAAAATATTTCAATTGCATTTTTAACCGAGCTGAAGCTGAAACATTACAGCTAACAAATCATAAATGCCATTAAAATAACAAAAGTTTTATTTATTATATCATCCGTTAATTATGGTTTGCACGATCCGATGATTATGGATTGTACGACTGTTAGTTATTAAACTGTTATTTTCCATTGTAAAGTTTACTAAAACGGAATTAAGAAATGTTCATTGTCTGTCATTGACATGTCAAAAGTTGTCACACTAATTGTAAGTGGATACTGTTGGAATATCACAAAAGAAAATTTCACCAAACTATTCTCTAATTTAATTTTCTAAAAGGCTACATGATGATTTTTCGGAATAAACGTACCATATATATCTAAATATTTAAGTATAATATCAGATCTAGAGTTATTAAACTACGGAAAATATATTTAAGGTTATAAACGTATAACCTGAAAAAGTTGCCAGTACATTTATCCATTTTGCCAGTACATTTAGGCATATATCTATCTGAAATATGTAATATCAGTTTCGTACGACTTTTTGGTTTCGAGCTAGAGTGTTCACATACACACAGACACACAGACCATTTTTGGGAACTTGGTTATTTGGATTCAGGGGACCTCAAAACGTGTATTTCCATTGAAAATTCAGATTATTTCACTATCTGCTTAGGGCCTCACACTTAGGATTGTGCTAATATCTACTAGTCATTCAGAAAAGCTCGTTTTCCTTTCAGATTCCTTAAAAGTCTTTTGCAAATGCACTAAACAGAAGGAGAAATATTCCCCTTTCTTGATAGACCTCCATAACCTGCTTCTAAGTGAAGATAGTCCCAATGTTCAACTTCAATATCAATTGAAAATAAAGTTGTTTTCACCATAATAAATCTCGTTTACTTAGTCCAGACCTGCTGGCAAGCCAATTTCTTCGAACGAATCTTTCTTGCTGATAAAATGGTCTTCACCATAATAAACTTGCTTCGTCCTCTTAATATCATCAAAAGTGCCCCAGCATTCGAACCTCTTTTAGCAGCATCTTGAAATATTTTGTTCATCTGTCTACTATATATTCGTTTAGCCATATAATGGATACTGAACCTTGTTTCCTTTTCCGATATTTAGGCACTTCCTCTCTCCTTGGCTTAATATATTTTTCCAATTTTTGGGTTCAATTTCGCGTTTTCCGTCATTTTGAGACCAAATAATCAGTTCCTTTTACCTAGAAGAGCTTATAGTATCGACCTTTCTATCTTTCTTTGAGCAGTGAGAAAAATCATTTAATATTAAAATTTTCTATTTTTTATGATATGGTTCAACTTTTAACAAAATGAAGAAAATAAAAATTATTTTTTTTTAGTGGCATGTGAGTTTTACTAAACAACCCATCAACTATTCATTACATGTAGTTCAGATAAGACATATATTTTTTAGTTTATAAAACAGGTATTAATATGACTCATTATTACAATAGAGACCTTCGTATAGAATAAAGGACATTAAAATTTAAAAAATAAATTATACTTAAAAAATAAATTGAAAATTTTATTTTACAATTTTTTTGGATGATTAAATTATTAAATTAATATTTTTCATTAATGCAATCAATGTAATGTACAAAAAACGTTATTATAGCACTATAATTAAGCCATTTATGAGAACTGGATGATATAGAGGCCTGTAGGCACCCACGCCAGTACCGCTTTTTTGCCGCCTATGTGCATTTTGTACGGAACCGCTTCAAATATTTTAAAAGGTAATCAGTATTTTAGAAAGAAAAATATATTCTCCAGATGTTTTATTTCTTCACGTTTTGCGTTATTATTGGCCGTTTAAATACAAACGACGCATGATTTGTAACTTGAAAATTTTCTTGTTAAACAGATTGACTTTAGTGGTGTTTTTTTTATTGCCTAGGCCAATTATTTTTTTTATATTTTTTCATGTTTTAGTATTTTCTGACTATGCAGCTTTAATAAAAGACCAACTATGACGAAATTAAGCCAAACGCTGATTCTCACTGACCAGAAAACTTAATAAAGTCAATACCGTCAGTTAGCCATGTTTTGACGTCATTTTCGGGAAGTTCGTTCACTTTTTTTTGTGGGAACATTGGCTTTTTTTAAAAAAAAGAGTTATAAAGAACACAACGATATGCAATTTACATGGATGTGGGTGGGGGGAGGGAAGGAGAGTGCACGGTTGGTGGAGGGGAGGTGTCTGGTCCATCGTGTAAGGGGACAGGTGTCCTGTTGTAATGACCTTTGGTTTTAGAGATTGAAAACTCTGATGCTGTAAGCATTGCCTCAGTTATAGATTTACACTTCTGAATTTTAGACGAATTGGGAAATGGTCTCTTCCATAAGGTTCTGGTAGAAATGTCCATTCTATGGTATCAATCAGTGTGTAAGTGTATATAGAGAGATTTATGGATGAAAATGTACCAAAGCTAGAACTTATGTATGTTGCTTCGCTAGAGTTTAGTAACAGAGTATCGGTTAAGTCTAAGAAAGTTTCTATAATGCGACTTCTAGAATTTGTGTCTTGTGAGCCTCATAATAGAGTGTGGCCATTGAAATCCCCTGTGTACAAAACTGGCTTTTTTAACTGCCTATGGATGTGGAGAAGGAAGTGTCTCTATGGTATTGTCTTGGGGGAGATAAATGTTGCAAATTGTGAAAGTTATGTTTAAATGAACTGTAACAGCTATTACTTGAAGTGAGGAATCTATTTCTACTTGGTGGAATTAAACAGTCTCTTATACGGCTATAGCTACGCCTCTACATGCTCGCTCGTAATCTCGACCACAACCTCTTCTATAGATATTGAAGCCTTTAAGGATAAATCGTTTCTTGGAGGCATATACAAAAAGGGTCTTCATCTTCCATTATTAGTTTCAAATCGTTGAAATTACTTTCAATACCATTGCAATTCCACTGGATTAGGGTTATGATTTAGGTACGGTATAGCATATGAAAAACACATTTTTACATATTTGTAGATGGTATATGTAATTGAATTTAATACTAATAATCATTCAATGAAAGCGATAATTTATTTGTCAGCTATTTTATTTATTATTTGTTTTTTTCAGAGATTATTTCCGGGGTCTTCCTTTTTCTTTTGTAGGGTTTATCCTTCTCGATCTACAGGGAGAGGGGAATTGAAAGGGGGATGGAGAGAGGAGGAGAAGATAGGAAAGAAGAGGTGGCGGAGGGAGCAGAGGGGAAAGAGGAAGAGGAGGTGTGGAAAATAGAGGAGAGGGAGGAAGTGGTGGCAGAGAGGGTAGATGGGTGGGAAGAAGAGGAGGTGAGGACGGGAGCAGTCTGTGGCGCCATGGGGCTGCCGACTTCGCTTGACTGTGGTCGAGCATTCTCTCTATCAGACACGGGCGGCAAAAATATAACCATGTTTTATGGAAAAAAAAATGTAAAAAATACCTCTTAAAGTATTATTGTTCGTATAATTATATTTAAAATGGTTATATTTTACCATTTTGGGTAGATCCCCCTTAGATCCGCATGTGGTTATCATTAACCTATTGATTCATTTTTAGAGTATGATATTGACTTAGTATGATCAATCGGAGCAAATTTTACCAGAGTAAATTAAAGACAATTATAATTGTATATATTGTAAATATTATTAATTTATGAATATACAACAAAAAAAAAGTTTGTACACAATTATAATTGTATATATTGTAAATTTTGTTACGTTTTAAATCTAGAACAAATAATATTTATTGAATATTTTATATTAAGTCCGCCTTGTTGATGTTTATCCTCCTATCGTGTGGTCTTGAGCTCACACCGTAGTTTATTTTTCTGTTTAAAAACGGGTTTTGAAGTTTAAGACTTTCATAAAGCGGTCCTATTCAAGGCTTAATAGTTTTTAATTACCATTGAAATATATCAGTGATTTTCAAAAATATGTGTTATAAATAAAGAATTTCTTAATTTATTTAAATGAAAATATTGGTATTTATATTGCAAGTGGCATAGAAAATATAGTTTTTTTGAGTATTCTGAGAAGTTGTCAATGATGATTGGGGATTACTTTGAAAATAAACGACTCTCTTAATGATTAGCTGAATATTTTTGGATTCACAAGTCAATTTTTGTTTTATGAATTATAACTTTCATAAAGTATAGACCATAGGTAATGTCACGGATACCACATGCATATCATAGATTCCCTACCTATGATATATATTAGGCAAAAATTTAGTATGTCAAACGCTTATTTTATCATTATTACAGTATACTAATATATCTGTCATTAGATTTCAGCTGAAAGACACAAAGAAATTGGCCGAAGTGAAGAAGGATCACTGGCGATGGGAGCTTTGGCTGCTGCCGCTCAGTTGGGCGACTTCAAGACTGTAAAGAAACTATTGGAGATCGGGGTGGACAAAGATTTCATGCCGGATCTCGACAGCAAGGAGAGGAACACCTTGCTAGACTCGATAAACATCAAATTAGACAACATAGAACAGCTTATCGAGGGTGGGCTAGTGTCAATCCCTAGTTTAAGGACCGTCAAGAAGGGTCCTTTCGCCAAGGGCATGTTCAAGATAATCTTCATCCCAGGGACAGAATTCGTGATGCACCTGATGATCGAAACGGCCATGATGGGCTCCTGGAACCCCTCCAACAACTCTGAAGGCTTCTATCCGCTGCACTACTTTTGTTCGCTTCCCGACATACCCACCGGGGCGATCAACGACCTTCTAGATTTACACCCGGTTGATATAAATGAAAAGACCCTGAATGGATTCACAGCCTTGATCATTGCCGTCGCCAGGAAAAATTTTCCCGTAGTTAAATTTTTGATCGAAAAAGGGGCTCTTCTGAATTATGCCCCGATTGTTAAGATCGCCATAGATGAATTGGGATCCTATTATCCGTATTTGAAAGTATTTTCTCCGGTAAAAGTAACTTTCCCACAGATGCACTACTACTTCTCGCCAGTGGAGGCAGCTGTCTTTGCGAATGAGCAAGACATCCTCTGCTATTTGGTGAAGAAGGGCGCTAAAGTCATTATAAACCAGGGCCTCTGGAACACCCTGATCCACCCCATTGTGAGGGGAAGACGGAGACTCGTCGAAATGCTGCTAGATAACGGTGTGGACGTCAACGTGGTGGACTTAATGGGAACTTCCTCTCTACATAAAGCCGCCATGGAAAGTAGCATCGATTTGACATACGTCTTGATGAGGAGAGGCGCTAATGTTAATGCCCAAGACAGGCATGGCTGGACTCCGCTCCACATTGCGTGCCTTTTTTCACGAAACGTCTCCCTAGAGATCATACAACTGCTGCTGGATGGAGGGGCAGACATTGAAGCGACAACTGAATTCGGCTTTACTCCGTTATGCCTCGCCGAGGCAGGTAACGATCTTTTCTTTTTGGGATTCCTGGCAGAGAACATGGACAAACTCGGCAAAGGTTTGAAGGAAATATATATGCCTGAAGAAGACACGAGAAAGGAGCACGAGGACATAATGACCCTATTGCTGGACAATGGAGCCAGCTGCAACCACCAGGACGACCACTTGGGATGGACGGCACTGCACTGGGCCGCGGCATCCGGGGACCTAAGAACGACACAGCTGTTGGTGTCGAGGGGTGCAAAGGTCAGCATCAGGTCCAGGTTCAATTTTAACCCTTACCAAACTGCCTTATATTTCAACAGAGGGCCGGTTAGTGCCTACCTCTTCACAGTCACTGATGAGGCTAAAAATAAGTAATCACCTTAATAAAAAAAAATATTTCCTTTAGACATATTTCTACTTATCTAATTTTTATTTATAGAACTACTTATTTATGGTATTAATAATTTTATTATGGTGTTAATGTACAATTTTCTAAAATAATGATGGGTAGTCAAAGATGCAACCAATTGGTTAATTTTTTTAAATGTTTATGTAACATTAGATTTTTAAAAGATTTTGTAATGTTTCTTCAATTAGTTTGGGAGGCTAGGTTTTTGAATACATCATTTCTTGATAAATATTTTAATGTAATCATTATATTACATTATCATTGCATTCACAATTCTGAGGTTTAGATTTTTGGAGAATACGCTAATGGTATATCTAAATCAGACTGGCTTTAGATAATTTAGTAGTTGAGTTCTAATTAATAAAATAATAATAGATAATATTAGAAAGAATACATTTTGAATAGTCAATGAATTCGATCTATCTCTCGCTATATATATTTTGCGTGTTTTTCAAAGAGTTATTATTTGTTCAAGTAGGTTCTTGCTTATAACTACTTATTTATCTAAAATATTTATGTTGCTTTCAGTTTTTTAATGATTTTAACCTGCCATTATTTATAAATGTTATTGTTTGGCCTGCTAGTTTTTAAGTAATAAATTCATGACAAAATTTAAATTGATTTTGTTGTTTTTAATGTTAACTTTTTTATTAATAAATTTACCATACATCATTATTGCTCGGTAAACTTTTACTTAAGATTGTTATGGAAATCTTCCACAGTGTTTGAAGTTTGTGTCTACTTAATTTTTTTTTTATATATAAATCAGACTGAATGTATATACTTAAATATGTTTGTTCTAATACGAATGTGTATGATTTTGGATGGAGTATATTGAAAAGGATTATTGTATAGTTATCAGAATCCAATTATTATAAGACATAAAATATTGATATAGTTGGCAGCCCTACGGCGAATTCACGCGGCTCTTGAATGGTATTTGGAAGGAAAGTGTTTATTTTCCCAATATTACTTACAAAGTATTAATAAATATACACCTTTGCTTGAAAATTATATCGTAACCTTTTAATATTTGTATATTTTTGTACACAATGTATTAGTATTATAGGAAAATAAAATGTTAGTCTGATACCGCATGAGTTCACATTCTTGTCTCCAAGAAATCCTGGCCAAGTGATAGTTTTGGATTTAATGACTATTCCTCCAGATACATTTTTACAATGATTTTTAATGCTATAAAGTATAATTTAAAAAATAATATTGCAATTAATAAATTGTGAGTAGTCAATGGATTGTATTAGTACTTTTTTTTTTTTTATAAGTTTGTATGTCTGTTTCAAGCTGTTTCTAAGTATGTATTATGAATATTTATGTAACATTGAAATTTTTAATTGTTTTAACCCGTCATTATTCACAAATGATATTATTTGGCTTGCTAAAAAATAAATTAGGTATTAAATGTAGTGCATTTTTTATATTGATAGTTGTTATTTATAATCTGAAAATTTTGATTAAATATAACTTAATCTGACATCATTCTTGTTCTATACCCATATCCTTTCCACTATTGCGGAATATTTTTGTTATTTTTTTACGTATTTTAGATTCACTTATATTGAAAATATTAATCTCCTACTTTTTTTATTTATTTATTTTTTATTTTCTCACTTTTTGTATGGTTCAAAATATTTTTGTCATGTCCATACAAAAAGAATATTAAAGGAAAATTTCGCACTAAAATTTTAACAAAAGGTGATGATACCTTTCTTTGCGTCAGTTATTTAAATTATAGAAAATCTGATCATGGTCATTTGTGAGTATTGATTTTATGTCTAAATACTAGCTTCTACTTCATTGTAATAATAATTGAACAAATAAAGATTTACTATTTAAAATAAAATCATATGAATTTTAAATTAAAATAAATCAAAAGAAGATATTTATAATTTTCTTTCCCCATCTCCCTTTTACTCATCCTAGGCAAAATTATGGAAAAGCTCATCCTAAAACGCCTGTACCCCATCCTAGATTCTAATCACATTATCCCAGATCATCAATTTGGATTCCGCAGATCCCATTCCACTAACCAGCAATGCAGCAATGTGGTGGATGTTGTCTCCTCTGCATTGGAGCGCGGAATGTGCTCGGTGTAGAACAGGCTTTTGATCGAGTATGACACCCAGGACTGCTTTACAAACTCCGTAAATTCCTACACCCTACATACTTCCTCATTATCCGTTCCTATCTAACTGATAGATCCTTCAAAGTAAATCATAATAATGCCTATTCATCGCTTTTTTTCCCAGTCCGCTGCTGTTCCTCAAGGTAGTATCCTAGGTCCTATCCTTTACACAGTTTATACAGCTGATATCCCAACCCATCCTAACACTGTTATTACTCCGTATGCCGATGATACATGTGTCCTATCAGTTAATAACGATCCAACAATTGCATCCAAACCATTCTGTTGAACAGATTCGATACCTTGGACTCCACTTAGACAAACGTCTAACTTTGAATCCTCATACCAGACTGAAACGGCAAGAAACAGCTCTACGTTTCCGACTACTCCAGCACTTACTAGACAAACGCTCTAAGCTCCCAGTCAATTACAAAAGACTCATATACATGACTACAATAAGACCTATTTGGACTTACGGAGCTGAGCTCTGAGGCTCCACTAAGCCATCGAATTCCTCTCGTATCCAATCCTTACAATCCAAAATCCTTCGTAAAATCCTCACAGCTCCTTACTTAATGTTCCTAATGTTTCTGACTTGGCCCAATCCAGATACCTATCCTTCCATAACAAACTTCAGAACCATCCTAACCCTCTCGTTTCTAACCTTGCTTCTTTTTCGATCCCTGACAACCCTTCGAGGCGTCTGAAAAGAAGATGGCCTCGAGATCTCCTTTTGTAAATACATTTTTAGAGTGCTACCAGTGGGTAGTTTCTCAACAAGTGCTTTCATGCTATTTTATTCTTTTGTTCACATTTACTGAATGTATTTTTAGTTGTAATACAGTTGTAAATATCATCAATAAAAAAAAAAAATAATAAAAATAATTTTTTTTAATATGATTCTTTTATTTGTCTGCAGCTCCTTGTTTTTAAGTACATTGATTTTTCCTAAAATACTGAATATTTTCTTGGATGAACTATTTAAAAGTTCGGAATTTTTTTTTTTATTTAATTGATTGCGTTTCTGAATTCTTTTTTTGATAATCGTTTTTAGTTCTTTGTAGATGTGTTTTGTATTCATTTAAGACATTTGGGTGGAGTTGATATTTTTAAACAGTATTCAACCTTTCTATAAATTGTAACATATGTGAAGTTCATCATCATTATATACAATAAATAAAGTTACAATTAGCGTTAGAAGATATGTAGATCATCGAAATTGGAAATGAGAAAAAGTTTTGACCAATCTGATCTAATAAAGATGACCTTATTCATTATTTTTTTTATCATTTTTATTCTCATAATAGTTGTCTTAGGATGTATATAGCATAATAGTTGTGTTAGGATGCACACACAAACGAAGTAAGTAAACAGCAGTTTGTGATATTTTTGAGGCAGGGAGAATTAATTTAAACTAACTCTATTCTTCCTGTAGTTTCCATAAGTGACAATTTCTCAACTTCCTTCTGCTTAATGCGCGGAGGAGTTTGATCAGGTCCTTTCTTAGTTGACTCAGTCTGTTGCCAGTATTCGGCCAGACCTGTCTTAGCTGTGAGTATAAACTTATATATATATATATATATATATATATATATATATATATATATATATATATATATATATATATATATATATATATATATATTACATATAATACAGTAATTAAGTAATAAATGATGTAAGGGATAAAATAATAAAAATTAAAAAAAAAATAAAAAATAAAAGCGTTACGTGTTCATCAGAGATCTAAAGGTTCGTGTTATATTGATGGTTTATAGTCCACGGTACTATTTTTACTTTTAACCACTAATTCACTCTAATACATATAAAATATATGGATAGTGGTCAATAAACGTTTCATTTCTTCTCCATATCCTGTTCAAATTTAAGAAAAAGAAACTAATTTATAGTGTCTTCATTTCTACTTGGATGTTCCAAGGACTCAATTCAAGAGGATTATTAGCACAGGACAGAATTAAGAAAACGGATTGAATACATAGTATTAATCATGATTGTTATGATTATTTCATGCTTCTCATAGATTTTTTTAAATGACTGCTTTGAATCAGACTAGAGAAATATCGTTAACCATGATTTCATTTAAGCTGGCAGTCCAAGAGGAAACACATGCGATACCAATATATAACTAATTTTGTTTTACCTCATCACTCGGTACTATTTACAAATATTACAAAATGATATTGTCAGATATGTATGTATTTGTGAAAATTTTATAAGACACATAGAAGGCTAAGGGAAAAAAAAAATAATTTCAACTTACAATTAGTGCTGCCCGAGTTTCCCCTCGGTCAATTGCGGACAAGCTGAGATATCATTATTTTAAAATTCTCGTGTTGGTTTATTTCAAATCTAACTACTTTTTAAACAGTTTAATTAATTAAAAGTAAAATAAAACATTTTTTTTTTCCTTTTTCTCGCCTCTACCCTAAAGGGTCATTGGCGTTTTCTATGATTTATACTCTGTTACAATAGTTTACAATTTTTAAAAAATGTAACACAATCGAGACTCCGAGAGAGAAGGTGTTTCACAGTTTGCGGTGTATTGTTACATTTCTCGCAAGTAGGAGTTTCTAGGCCTCTTAAAAGATAGCTATGAGTGAACTGGCAGTGCCCAATCCTTAGGCGGCATAGTATAATTTCTTCACGCCTAGACTTTCTGTTGCTAGTGAGCCATTTATCGCAATTGGGTTTCACTTCTTTCAGCTTACACTCTTTGATCCTCCACTCTTTTTCCCACTCTGCCAGTTGTTTTTTCTTTATTTCGTGTACCCAGTCTTCTAAAGTGATATATTTCACTCTAGTCACTTCGTCTTCTTCTCCTCCACTTCTTGCTAAATGGGCTGCATTGTCAGCATTTTCATTTCCTAAAATTCCGCAATGAGCTGGTACCCATACCAATACAACTGTTATTCCTTTATTTTTTAGATCCCACCAGATATTGAGTATTTCCCTAATTATGGAGTTTTTAGGATATGGATTGTCAATGGCAGTTAAAACGCTGTATGAGTCCGTCACAATTACCCAGTAGTTCTTTTCAGTTTCGCTTATAAGATATAAAGCATTCATGATGGCAGTGGCCTCTCCTGTGAATACTGAACATTCTCCAGGTAATTTAAACAGTAATTGTTTCTATTTACTCGCTAAAGCACATCCTACGCTACCTCCTTCTTTGGATGCATCCGTATATATAAAATCGAAATTTTTATATTGTTCCGTTAGCTTTAAAAAAGATTTTTGTTTTTCAAGCGGATATGCCTTTGCAATTTTAGTAATAGATTTATTAATAAATGGTCTATCTTTTTTCCAACGCGGCATTTTTAATTCTGGGATGGATCTTATAATGGTCGTATCCATGTTTATATTAGTTGTTGCATTGTAAATTGCTTGTTTAAAAATGTTATTTTCTATATTTCTAAGTCCGTTTCTTTCTGATTCTTCTGAAAATAAATAGGGAGTTAATGGGTGGTTGGAAGATGCTTTCAATTTGGCAATGTATTTCAGAGATAGATATTCTCGTCTCAAGTTTAAGGATGTTTCTCCAGAATAAACGTAGATGCTGTCGATTGGAGAAGTTCGAAACGCTCCAGTGCATATTCTATGGGATGAATTGTGTATAGAATCTAACATCCTCAATATTGTTTTGTTGGTTGTACTATATATCTGCGCTCCATAGTCTATTTTGCTGCATATTATAGACTGGTATATTCTTATTAGAGTGCATCTATCTTTTCTGAATATTTTGTAATTTCGCAATTTTACTATTTGCTTATCGTTGAGGCGTGTTTCTTGTAAGCAACAACAAATAGGGTGTTCTTCAGTCATTAGTTTTCTAAAGTACTCGATGTGTCGGTAGTAACCATTACAATTCCATTGAATCGTTTTTACCATGTTTGAGTTTTTCTTTTTTAAAGACTCTGTTGCCCGTTGATATCTTCGAAATTTTCTCACCTGGTGTGATCTCGGTGAGGTCATTTCCGTTCAGTAATTTCAAAATTTTTGTTGACCATATTTTTATACCTCTATGATCTACGAATCCCTTAATGTCTGTTAGCATCCTAATTAACCCTTCTTTATCCTTTGTGAATTGTTTTATCAAATCAGGTGTGTTTGATGACAATTTTTCTATCTGAATTGTTTCGTATAATAGGCAAATTTCTTTAAATTGAAGAGGGTAATTGTTTTTCATTAATAAGTCAAGGATTAGTTCTAGTATATCTTTTGTGGTCGGTTTTGTTTTTTGCTATAAGTTATTTTTTTCTTCAATTATTTTTTCTTTTTTATTCAAATCAGTTATTTTTTTCTCTGGTGTATTAAGAATGGTCTTTTTGTCTGTACTAATGTTTTGTAGAGTGTTTTTTCCTTTTGTGGTTTTCATTGTTGCCGATGAGCCATTTATACTTTCTATTGGCTTAATAATGTTGCTATTGTTATTTTTTTCAATTAACGTTGTGGGAATTTCTTTTTCTGTAATTCTGTTAGTAGGTAACTCACTATTTTGATTAACCGTGTTGGTTTTTATAATTTCAGTTTCGGTTGAAAGTTTGGTTTGATTGTTAGGAGTCATTAGTGGACGGGTTTGTAAACATGGTTCATCGTCTATATCATCCGAGTCAGGGCAATTTGCAGCGAAGTGTCCCGGTTTTCTACAGATGTAACAAATTAAGATATCTTCCGCTAAGAAGATTCTGTGAGAAAGACCTTCATTTTGGACTACAATTGATGTTTTTAGGTGACTGATATCTTCAGGATTAATAAAGATTTGTCGCCTAAAGCTCATGATGTTACTTGTTTTGGGGTCCTGGTATCCTGCCCTTAAAAATGACATTGGTGAAAGTAGTTTGATTCCCATT